CCCAGCAGGAGGCCAGTCCCTGTGCTCCTCAGAGTCCCAGCAGGAGGCCAGTCCCTGTGCTCCTCAGAGTCCCAGCAGGAGGCCAGTCCCTGTGCTCCTCAGAGTCCCAGCAGGAGTCCAGTCCCTGTGCTCCTCAGAGTCCCAGCAGGAGGCCAGTCCCTGTGCTCCTCAGAGTCCCAGCAGGAGGCCAGTCCCTGTGCTCCTCAGAGTCCCAATGTCTTCAGTGCGTAATATCTCCTAATACCTTATTAGTACCTAATATCGCGTAATCTCTCGTGTCTACGCCCTTCACATTTTATACTATTATGAATATTTATTTTTGGGTGTTTAATTTACAAGTTGTGAAGTTAAATCTCGTTCTGAGGAAAAAGTCTTGTTTTTCACACACTGCAATATGAAACACGCACAACATTATTTCGCGATCTGTGCCAAAAGCGCGCTCTCTCTCTTCCACCGCGCGTCTGTCATTGAGAACGCGCGTCTGTCTTTGAGAACGCGCGTCTCTCTGTGCGTGAGTTGGAAACAAAGTATTGGATGAATAAATAAAGATCCGGACTTTTACGCAGAAATCCGTTTTTTTCTATCTATCTATATAAACATTTATAAATGTATTACTTAGAAGTGTTTTTTATTCTGTATTTTTTTGTATTATCTCTTTCTGACTGTTGCACTGAGCCAAAGCCATTTCCAAGTCTGTGACTTCCTGTTACGTATACGTGGCAATAAAAATGATTCTGATTCTGATAAAATAATTGATACAAACAATACCTGAAAACGTTGCTTCCTGTTGTTGAAAGTCAAAGACTATAAAAGTATGTTATAGAATGTTCTGTGATGACGTAATCATTTATCCACATTTATATAGTCTATAATATATATATATATAGACACTGGTCTCTGCTCCTCACGGACAAACGTCTCTATGTGTTTTCTATCATTGTATGTTTTGAACTGTGTGATTCTCTGATCTGTTGTTGGCGAATCGACAGCTTTGTAAAGTCCCGGATGTGACGGATTTGAATGTGTGTACAGCTAAAGTATACCTGGCGTTGCAAAACTGGAAGATCCTCACAATCGACAAACGTACTCGATTTTTATCCGGTTTCTTATCTCCTTGCTGCAAAGTGGACTCCCATCTCTGCGCTTTCCGACGTCCTGCGCGCGCGTACACACACACACACACACGCACACAGACACGCACACACGCACACACACAGACACACACGCACATGCACCTCCCTATTACTCTGAACGAACGCAAATGGCTCGTGTCCTATTGTTCCATCGTGAGGCTACAGTCCTGACGGAGCAGCAGCTCTAACCCGTCCATGATTGTTTCTTTTCTTTCAGATAAATCGCTTCATCCTTTTCTCTCTTTAAGTGTTTTTTTTTTCCCGGCTATAAATCCTCGCGCGGGGCAGAGGTCAGAGCCGCGCGTACAGCTAAAGACCGCGCTGTAAAAACATTCTTATCGCTCACGGCTTCTCCTCTCTCTCTCTCTCTCTCTCTCTCTCTGTCTCTGTCTCTCTCTCTCTCTCTGTCTCTGTCTCTGTCTCTGTCTCTGTCTGTCTCTGTCTCTCTCTCTCTGTCTCTCTCTGCTCTGTCTGTCTGTCTGTCTCTCTCTATGTCTCTGTCTCTCTCTGTCTCTCTCTCTCTATCTCTCTCTCTCTGTCTCTCTCTCTCTGTCTGTCTCTCTCTCTCTTTTTCTGTGTTTCTCTCTCTATGTCTCTCTCTGTCTGTCTCTCTCTCTCTCTCTCTCTCTATGTCTCTCTCTCTCTGTCTCTCTCTGCTCTGTCTCTCTCTCTCTGTCTGTCTCTCTCTCTCTTTTTCTGTGTTTCTCTCTCTATGTCTCTCTCTCTCTCTCTCTCTCTCTCTCTGGTATATATAAATAAGTGCATCTTTTGAAAACACATTATTTTCGGAAGAAAGATTAGGATTATAAGAGAGATGCTTTAGTCTTCTCATGGGGAAATGTCAGTGTTGCATGACAAGTTACAGAACAGTAGAAATGAGGAGATCAAGAACCAAACCCCGGCACAGGGGCCAGATGCGGCCCTTTAGACATTTCCATCAGGCCTCTGAGCCCTCCAAAGTGTTTTGTTTTATTTACACTATTTAATGATGTTCTTTCTCTCTGTAAACATTTGTCAAACATTTGTTACGCTTCAATAAAATGAAAAATTATATACATTTGATATTTATATTATTTTATTTACGCGCAATGAAACAAAAAACAAAAAAATTGTAAATGGCGACAAACTCCGACAGCAGGAGAACGTTCCACAGTGGCCCTTAGGAGGACAAGTTTGCCCATACCGGGTATAGACCATAGGGGAATACTTTTATGTATATAGGTACATCTGTAGGAGAGCCCTGTGAGTCACTATTTGACGCTTTTGGGCTGAGATCCTTCACACAGTCTGAAAGAAGCGGGCCAAAACAGAGCCCAAAAATACGCGCATGTGGCAAGCAGCGATGGAAACTATTAGAAAGACTTTAAATTTTTGTTGTAAGAAAATTACGCACCCCAGCTTTAACTTTGACACTATTAAAACGGCTCTTCTGTGTCTTTATCTTTCTGACGTGAGTCTGGGCCTCGGTGCAGTGGCCGTGGATGAATCCGCTACACACAAAAACATAAACATCTGTGTATGACGCTGCGGCCCGTTTTGGTTTCACTATAGATTTATGATTTTAAACTACCACGATGTGCTTTTTTTAGCTTCTCAATTATCCTGCGAATATGAGCAAGAGACAAAAGCTCAATTTCATTCGAGATAAAGAAAAATGTCTATGTATTTTGTATCTTTCCATGTGTTTTTCCCATCTACTTCTTTCTATGCTCATTTCTATATATTTGTATATCTTTCTATGTAAATGTCTGTATCTTTTTATATATATTTTTATATGTTTTTCTATGTAATTGTCTATATCTTTACATGTATTATTTCCCATGTACTTCTTTCTATGCTCATTTATATGTATTTTTCCCTGTATTTTTCAAAATCATTTTATATATTTTTCTATGTCTTTCTATGTAATTGTCTGTATCTTTCTACATTGCAAAGTCAGACGTATATCACCATCATGAATTTAAAATGGCCCAAACACACATATACGCTATGTGTGTATGTGTAATAAACTTGAATTGAATTTAAATCCTATATCCTCGTTCTGTACTGACCTGCGTTGGTGCGTAATGACGTCCTCCTTTGGCGTCACCTCCGTACGCACCGGTGTCCCGCGCGAAAGCAACAAATCCTCGGCTTTTATTTGGATTGAAAAACATGTATTGGTGTAAGTCCAGGCGCGTGTGACGTGAGCGGCTCCTGTCCAGCACGCGGGGACTGGCTTGTGTCTGGTTCCACAACACGTACACGCGCGGGGCCTTCTCTGGGACTGGGACTGCAGTGTCTGGCGTCGCGTCAAAGCACCGCGCTCTCTCTGCGGCTTGTGAAAGTGAGACTGGAATGAACCGAGGACTGTGACGTTTGAGTTTGTTGTGAAGGCGTCGAATAAATTGGAAAGTGAAGGTAAAAGTCAAAGCTATTAGCGCCGTGAGACCTGGACTCTCTGTTTTATATTTATTATTTATTTATGTACTTGTCTGATGCACACATGGGGACAGACGTATCCAATGGCTTTACTGCAAATGGCAAAAGACTGGATCTGAATCTGTTTCATTTTTCTCATAAATTATAGAGTTGATTCGGGACATTTAAGGACAACGGGAGAATCCATTGATTTGAATGGAAGCCGTCAAAATGACTGCTCTGGGAGTTATAGTTTCATAATTCTGTGTCCTGTGTTTATTATTATTATGAAGGAACATTTGGAGAGTTGTCATCCCGTTCTTTATGAACCAATGACTCCTGTTGTTCATCTTCACATTTGTTTGATTTTCTTGTTGAGATTTAAGGTTAAACATAGAAATACACTGAACTGAATTTCTTGTCCCATAAATGGTTTTAAACGAACCGATCCCACACAATGTTTTCTCTTGTTTGTATAAGAAAAGTCCCCGGAAGTCGCTGTTTGACGCTTTGGGCTGAGAGCTGATTGGCTGAGGGCGCGCGGGCCTCTCTTTTCACTCTTTTCTGAATAATCTGATTTAAAGATGTGATAAAAGCCAAAGAACACACATAAAACACAGTGGTCCGGAACTTTGTCAGCTGAGAGAGGCAAAAAAGTCTAATACTTTAAAATGTTTTTGAGAGTTTTTTTATACCGTGAACATGTGTGATTTTTTTAAAACAGAGGCAGCAGCGGTCGCACCTGTGACACGCTTTAGGTTCGAGTCCCTCCATATGATTATATGATTTGTGCCAATGTGCGTCAGTCGCTCTATTGTTAAGGCACTATACACACGATTCTGCTTCTGCCTTCTCTTGAAAAACCTGTAAACAACCCATTGTAAAACTGCTTTTGTAAAATAAACAATACTATTTCTATCTATGCCAAATGCCCAAAACATAAAACATCTTTAGTGTCAAAGCCACAATACGATTTGTCTGAGAGATGACTTCTTGCTGTCATTAGTTAAATTGTATTACAAGTACTTTTTTCGGTCCAAAAATTACATACCCCAGCTTTAAGTCTCTATATCTCACAAATCTTGCTTCCTATAAAGTCTTATTGACCCGGAGTGAAGAAGGAAGCTATAGTTTTAACACTCACAGAAAAGGCCGTGCTGAGGTTTTCTCACAGTCCTTTGGCTGTTAATGACATAGACTTTATGTAAACATGTCATTCTATACATTTTATTTAGCCATAGAGAGGTGATTATTGTTGTTGTGGTCATTTTGAGTTTCGCCGTTTCGTCCTTACGCTCTTGACCTTGTAATTGCTGCTTTATGCATGTGCGTGCGTGCGTGGCGTGCGTGTGAAGGCCTACTTAGCGGCCCATTTACTTTAAAGATGGGGAAACAGCACATAGAGCGAGGCGGGCTGAGGTTCTGCTGCCTGCGTCACTATTGGCTGAGAGTTTGTTGTGAGGTCCAATGCCGCGCTCCCATTGGCTGCCGCGCGGTGACGCAGTGACGTGAGCTCTCTCTCCCGCTTCGCCCTCCGCCTCTGTCAGACGCTCACGGGACTTTTACCTTAGTTCTGAATCCACTGCTACACGGCTCTGCGGCTCTGATGAGCACGGAGACACGGCCTTGGAGGAGCATTACGCACGGTTACGCACGGTTACGCACAGTGAAGGAGGTCGGACATGAGGAGGACGTCCTGCTAGTGCTGCTGTTTGATTTAGGAAGAAGACAATGAGGTGGAGCGGGTCGGGGTTGTAGAGAGAGGCTCGTGGTGGGAGAGAGGCTCGTGGCCGGAGGAGGTGGCGGCTGCACGGGGACTGCTGTGGACTGTCGCCGCTGGAGCCGTGTTTCCCGCAGGATGCGGAGGCTACACCCGCAATGAGCGCGAGTCTCCGGGACTGAAGTGAAGGCGAGCTCCAGAAGGACCGCGTGTGTGTGTTTGTGTGTGTGTGCATTTGTGTGAGTTTGTTTGAGCGCGAGTGTCACCATGAGTCTGGTCTCGGGCTTCCCGCACCATCCCGTCATGCACCACGACACTCACCACTACTCGCTGCACGCGGCGGCGGCGGGCCGCTGTCACGAGGACGCGGGGCCTCCGTACTTCACGTCTTGGCTCATCAGCCACGCGGACATGTCCCCCACTGACTACAGCCTCGCGCCCGGGTACAGCCCCGAGTACCATGGCAACAGCAGCGGGGGCTCCACGGGCATGGACCCTCATCATCACCATCATCATCATCACCACTACGGCCCCGGAGGCCTCGTGCCCCCGGTGAATGGCGCTCCCGTGGGGCTGCACCACCACGCGCACGGCCCGCGGCCAGTGAAGAGGAGACCGACGGCCAACCGGAAGGAGCGCAGGCGGACGCAGAGCATCAACTCTGCCTTTGCGGAGCTCCGTGAATGCATCCCCAACGTCCCCGCGGACACCAAGCTGTCCAAGATCAAGACTCTGCGGCTGGCGACGAGCTACATCTCGTACCTGATGGACATCCTGGACAAGGACACGCACGGGGACACGCAGGCGTTTAAGGCCGAGCTCAAGAAGACAGAGGCCCGCGAGGAGCGGCGGAAGAGGGACACGGTAAGAGCCGTTTAACGCCAAACTTAGATCTATAGTATGCTTGTCTGGAGCAGAGAGTAACGGAGTAACGCGGTAATAGCGACTTTGAACTCAGACTGACGCACGGGCCCCGGCTCCAGCAGCTCCGGTCTGAACTAAACTGAGAGAAGCGTAAACAGCACGAGCCAGAGCAGAGCGCACTGTTCTTTCTATAATTCAGCCTTTGTGCCCAGCAGCAGTGGGCAAACACAAACTACACGTTACTTTCTCTCTTTTTGAACCGTTTGCTTTGGTCCGAGGTACTTTCTGACCATAACATCATGCAGTTTCTTCAAATACATTCTTCAGAAACACACAAACATGACTTTAGTCCAAACACGAGACACGAGCACGACTGTGACAACACAAAACCCTAAGGTCTCCCTCACACTCACAGCAAAACTCTGAAATACTGCACAAAGAAATCTCTAAACGTCTCTAACATACACAACTTCACCACAAAAATGCAGAGAACCTCAACATAAAAAACTCACTCACATATTTTCCAAAGGCTGAGAATAAACAAAAACAGACAAAGAATTGGCCTAAGATTCTGCATTCAACACACGCCATCGCTTGTTCCAATAGACTGTATAGCAACAATAACTTTAATAGATTTATGTTTTATCGCCGCCTTTGAGCCAAAACACGGATTCGCAGGAACGATTACGCGCGTGCGAATCCAAACCAAAAGATGTAGATTTTTTTTATTATCGCCTGAATTTATCTGGTATATTGTTTCATTTCAGACATGTTCCCTCTCACAGGATGTAGAGACCTGTGGGGATTTAGCTCTGCATGTTCAGGCTGATGTAAAAGTATAGTTTAGACTTTAGAAGGTAAAGCAGATGTGGAATAATACTAATACTTGGATAGGTTTTGTAGATTCCATTTTACGCACGTTACGCTCGCATACGTCGTCCTTAAAGGGGAGCTCACACGAAAACTGCATACTTTTCCCTGCTGGGGTCACGCACACGCACAACACACACACACACACACACACACACACGTGCACGTTTAATAGCGGGTAATCTTATAGGCTCATTTATTTGGGGGAGGAATTTGGCGAGCTAGAAAAGCACATGGGGTGGCACTAAAGTCTTGTTTTACTTACACTCATACGGACTTACGTTCTCACCGAGGTTACGTACAGGTTCAGTGCGTTCAATGTTAGAAAAACGCGTTGAGAATACGTTGAATTCGTTGAAAAGACGCCATTATTTGCTCCTTGTTCACAGAGAATCAGGACAAACTTGGACTTGTTTATGTGTCCTCTTTGCAAATAGCTTTTTGAGGAGTCCGTTCAAAAGTATCAGACTTAATTTCGTTGCTATTGGAAGTAACAGAAAGTCACAAACGAGGAATTAGCTTTGGTTCAAGGTGCAAACAAGTTAAAGTAAAAAAAAACATGTACATTTTTGTATAAAGTTTGCATTCAAAATCCTCTAGCGTTTCCTAAAAGGACTGCTAGAAGTGCACACTAGTACACACAAGAGACGTTTAACAGTGCAGTAAAAGTATAATAATAATAATAACAGGCAGAAAAATGCTGTGATGTGAAAATGAATAAATGTATATATAAATTAATAATTAAGGAGCAACGCAAATAGTAAACGGTGTAAAAGTCACGTGGACACAGAAGAAAGAGGCTCTAAAGTTGACTATAGTTTTATCCGGCTTGGCATCACAATCTACTACGTGTAACTTTGGCAATTATTTTTGGTTTTGTAGCAGCAAAAACAGCATTGCCCTCCATTGAAACGTGCACATGTCACGTATGAGTTAGCACAGTATATTTCTTGAACAGAACTAGATAGATAAATATTATTGATCCTGAATGAAATTGTGCGTTAGTCCCTCGCTCACACACTGCAGGATACAGTTAAAAGGTAAAACATGATTCAATTAAATAAATAAAAAGAGCGAAGTTACAGCACCGCAAGACAATGTTCAAAACATTTTCCTTCTCTCCACAAATGATATTTATTTATTTATATGGATCGTCACTTTTTCAATGGGGGCTTTAGCAAGACTGACATGCACAGGCTCAACGATACAAGAGTAGACATTTAGCAAACAAAGAACAATACATACATTATACATACATGCACACACATACACATACACATGCATACACACATACATTTACACGCATACATACACACAGAACAATGTCACTTTACTTTACTTATCTACTTATTATCCTGCACTATTTAACTGTACAGTATATAACTGCACTACTACATATATATTTTTTGACTGCAGAAGCATTTTCAGCATCTACAGCTAGTTATGTTCGCTAAGAAACATAGCTACTACTTATTTGTATATATTGTGCGATCCCTGTGCTCTTACTACTGTCCTGTATGTGCGATGCAACATCGAAATTTCCCCACTGTGGGACGAATAAAGGAATTCTTATCTTATCTTATACACACATGTACATATAGACATACACAAAGATACACATACACTATATACATATACATACATATACTTAGACACATACACATACACACATACACATACATACACACATACACACATACACATACATACACACATATATATACACATACACATACATCACTTCACTCCAACCCCACTTTATCCACTCTTTTTACCTATAAGTTCTCCGTTCAGAATTTGTTGTCATGTTTTACCAATATCTATAAAGTTTGTATATCGCTAATGACATATACGGATCTCTCTACGTCACCGAATCATTCACTAAGTCTGATTACATGGCATTTTTCAATAAATGATGAAGCTAAGCCTTTGTAAATGCGAATGAGAATTTACAACAGTAATAATTCTGCCTGAGCACCTGTGTTTTAACGACAGCGACAGATGGAGTTTCAACATTGATAGTTTAGAGTCTTTGAAGCAGCGATTTCAAATACAGATGCGTGAGTACGTAAGGCGAGACGTATTAGACGCGTAAAGTGAATAACAGTTTACGTGGTTTTTCTAATGCCCAGAATTTAGATAAAAACAAAAAAATCCTCGTGCGTAATTACGGGATCACAGAAAAGCAATCTCTCAACATGCGATTATATTTTCATCTGCACACGTCCCCGACACTGATGCTTGCAATTACTGCCAACAACATGTGTGTGTGTGTGTGTGTGTACTTGTGTATGTGATTGTGTGTTACAGAGGAAAAAACGGATTCAAACCGATAAAGAGGCTTGAAGATTCGAATGAAGCAAAACTTTTTAGTAATCAACAAAGAACACAGGAGAATTTCTGTGTGTGTGTGTGTGTGTTACAGATGAAAAAAAACGGATACAAAAAACACGAGACTTGGATCCGAAGGAGTGTGTGTGTGTCTCTATGCGTGTGTGTGTGTCTATGCGTGTGTGTATGTGTGCGTGTCTCTGTATGCGTGTGTGTGTGTCTCTCTCTGTGTGTGTGTGTCTCTATATACGTGTGTGTCTCTGTATGCGTGTGTGTTTCTCTCTGTGTGTGTGTGTGTGTGTGTGTGTGTGTGTGTGTGTGTCTTTGCATGTGTGTATGTGTGTGTGTGTGTGTCTCTGTTTGCGTGTGTGTGTCTCTATATACGTGTGTGTCTCTGTATGCGTGTGTGTTGTGTTGTGTTGTACGTCAGGCCTCGCGCGTAAAAACCAAAACGTATTTAAAAAAAACCCATGTAGATCCAAACAGTACATGACAAGACTCAGAACAGCGCAGAGAATAGACTTTAGGGACTAATGGCTTCCTGTCTCTCGCCTGGACGCGCCGCTCGTGCGTGAGGACGTGTGGCGCGTAATTGGAGCCATGAGAAAGAGCCATTTTTCCTCACGTTTTGCAAAGTAGAGTTATCGCTAATAGAAGGATGTGGCAGTAAGCAGCCTCTGCCATAACTCATGTCAGCCCGTGCGTCAGGCTGAGAGATGCCCACGCACTGATACCACGGCTCTCGCGCCTCTACGTGCATCTCTGACGTACCAAGAAAGTTCAGATTTTTAGACATCCTTTTTGCGTGCCACAGAGGGGAAATTTCAGGGTTGCATGACCAGTTACAGAACATTAGCACAAGAGACAAATGAACAATAACTACTAAATATACTGTGTGTACTGGACATTTTCTTTTAACTATGGACCGTATTGTATTGTGTCCTTCCATAAAGATGAATAATAATAATAATAATTAATAAAATAAAGTAAAAATCTTGATCATAAAAGAAGCAAGTATAAAATCTCTATATCTTTTACATAATGAGTACAAAAACTCTAATCTCTACCTTTGGCGTCATAAGAAATGATCATAAATACACAATTAAGAGAATACATTATCTACAATATATTACCAATAACTATTATATTTATTTGATTCTATAAAAAATGTTACTTAATTTTCTAACGATAAAAAAATCCATGCAATCAACTTTCTCTCATAACGATTTGGTTCCATCACGTTTATGTATGTGTTTGGCCTCTGTCACGTGTTCAGCTTAGATTTTTCAGACAGTAAAATGAAAAGGAGAATGGTCTACACCAGATCAGCCAATCAGCTCTCAGTCTGAAGGCGTCAAACAGCGACGTCCAGGGCCTTTTCTTACGTATAGCTTAAGTAAATGCAAAAAAATAAAAATAAAACAAATATAAAAAATCAGCTTGTTGTGGTGGATTCGGTCTGTTTCGGTAAATTATATAAATCCAATTTATTTTTGTATTGACCTAAATCCCAGCAGCAGTCTTGGCGGTGCTTACAAAGCCAACAACAGATCAGAGAATCAAACTGTTAGAACATACAGGCATAGACTGTCCACAAATGTCCTTAAATTGACTATTTTATTATTATTATTATTATTATTATTATTATTGGATTACTTACGTGTGTTTCTCAATCACACAAAACTAATCCTGCAGGAACATATCGCTCCATCGAGGTTACCCAGAATCCACTTCTTCTAAACATGTCTGTGCTGCACGTGTCTTTGTGAGGAAAAAATATCAATGAATCAAATCCTGTA